CAATATTTAGGTAGGATAGTTTGAGAAGGGAGGTGGTAGATATAATGTAGTCTTAATGAAATCTTCTGCTAGGAATTCTGAAACTGAAATGAACCCAGACTTGTGATGAATTGGAAGAAGAGAGCTTTTCTCTCTTATACAGCTCAATCACCAGATGCAGCTCAGCAGACATGGCCTGGGGAAAAGCGGCTCTCTGGATCCTATATAAACTCCCAGGAGTTTTAAATAAGGGCTGTCTATCAGCAGCAGCAATCCTAGAATTTGAAATAAGCCTTTCATTCTTGAACCACGATTTGTGCGTCTAACATACCTGTGATATATTGTATATTCATTAAGTGCTCACTCTCCCAGTGACCATGTCCATGCCTAATGAGGTGTGACCTATTGATCATCCAAATAGTGAGACTGAGATTAAACAACATTCTTAAAAGTTTTCATTTTTAACTACAAAAAATAATACTAGAAGGACTTCCAAGTACCAGACCATTGTTAGATATTTGAAGTTCAATATGGTACAGGATGGTTCTAGCTCTTGAATACCTAGTACAATAAATTTTGAAGATATTAAATATACCTTATATTTGAAATGATATATTTTTAATCTATTTATGCATCCATATACTTGCTTTGTTGCCTCTGGAAAGCAGTCTTTTAAACAGGCATGGACAAACTAGAGCCAAACTAAACCTGGCCTGTATATGTTTTGACAAATAGTTTTATAAGAAAATAGTCACGCCCATTCACTTACGTATTGTGCTGGTTTTTTGCTCCAAGGACAGGGTTGAACAGATGTAGTGAGACAATCTGTCCTTCACAGCAAGTGCTTGCTGACCTATATTCTAACGTATTTTGAGATTCATAGTAATATGCTACTGAATTATCTTGAATGTTTCATCGTTAAGATCAGGATTTTAGTTTTAATATTTTTAAAGTTTGCTGTCCCAAACTGAAATCTTTGATTATTAAACATACTCCACTTCCTGATTATATAATAAAGAAATTTTCCTTGAAATATCTTTCATCTTTTCCTTTTAATCATTATAACTATAATGTAATATTTTTAAAATGAGAAGTATTTAACAGAAGTGTAGAAATATGGTATAGTATAATAATGGTTAGAAAACACCCTGGATGAAAATATTGTGTGATATTCTACCACAAACTGTACTTATTGCTATTCCTTTCAACGTTTTAAATCAGGATTCAGATGAAAACAAAAGATGTATTTATCCAGCTTTTGTATGATGCAAAACTGTGGAGCCAGTAGTTACTATGGTGTATTGGATGAGAGGAATGGTATTTAAAGGACTGCAAAAAGTTGTAAAGATGAGCCAAAACTAACAAAAATGAAATTTAACAGGGCTAAATATAAAGTTCTCTATTTGGGTTAGAAAAATTGAACCACAAGTATACAAATAGAGGGAGGATGGAGAACACATGGCTCAAGAGCAGTAAAAGGTGAACAAATTTTAGGGTTAACTCCAAGCTTAATTATGCACTGAACTTTTTGATGTGGCTACGAAAATGCTCACATAACTTTGGCATGTGTTTTAATATAAGTATGTATTCTGTCCAGAGGAAGGTAGCTAATTGAATCACAGAATCGCGTACTGCACTGGTCCTAAGCCATCTGGAATGATGTATTCAGTTTAGGGAGCCGTGTTGTAACAGGGACTTTGACCAATGCAGTGGAGGTTTAAAGGTGTTTTTCCTCACCAGCTGCATCAGATACCTGTTTTTTAGACCCATGAAGCTACAATGGAGCATAAAGTTGGAGTCTAATCAGAACAACTTGCAGGGGGAACCAGAAAGGCAAAGAAGCAGTCATGATAAAATCAGTGCTATAAATTCATTTTTTGAAGCATTTGAGTAGAGTCATGGTATTTGTAGAGCATGAATGTCTTCCCAAGATCAGCTCTGTGTAATTCTAGACCTTGTTACTGGCTGTATAGGAGGCATAATGAGGGCTGGCAACCAGATCACTGTCAGGTTTCTTCTCAACTATAAATTTCTGTGTCCTTTATTTGAAATCAATTTACTGTTATGGCCTGACCAACAAGTACGTGGGGGTGAGATACACAGAAAAATAGTCCTGCCAAAGACAAAGCGAAAGAAGGAAGTCAAATAGGGGAAAGAATGGCAAATGCTGACTCCTTAATTAATAAAGGATTTGTTTCATGTGGATTTTCAAATAACTTGCTAAGAAAATTGTTCACAGTAAAGGCTATGGACTGCCCGTGTCAGAGAGATAACACAACTGAGCATAAAAAGTGAGTATGTAGTGCTGAACCATTTGGTGTTTATGCTATTTATACCAGAGAATATTCTAGCTGGTAAAATTACCTAAAAGTAGGTAGGATGCAGATTGGGAATTTTTGCATTTTATTTAGGTATATTATTTCTGTTTTGTTTATTATTATGGTTTATTAACTGTAGCCATACCTAGTATTCTTTCCATTTGTAATCACTGGTTTTTTAGTGTCATAATGTACTATGAAAAAAACACAGTCTTTGAAGCCAGTAAGTCTGTGTTCAATTCTCAGGTTGTCATTACTAAACTTGTGATTTGTGACCTCAGGAACTTTACTCTAGCATTTAGTACCTATATTTTATAATCTGTAAAATATCAATGTATGTTCCAGTGTTGTCCTGAAGTGTCATATGCATAAACTGCAGCATGGGACAGAACACAGACGATGTTAGATCTGACACCCGGGTCTCAGTTTTGCCAGCCTCTTCATATTTGTGTTGGTCTAAAGATGGAAAAATCAATGAATTTGAATAAAATAATTTTTCTTAATCGTGCCCCAAGTTACAGTTCCCTTACTTCAAATGACTTTCTAATATTTGAGTCTGGAATTATAGAGAAGTCAGTTACTGATTTCTGTCAGTTTCATGAAGCCCATCTTATAATGAAAGACTCAGAAGCCTAATGTTTCTGGGTATATTAGTGATGTGCGGAAATCACAAAAAAATAGTAAATTCTTACTGTTCTGTGTATCACATGCTTCAAGCTAACTCAACCATTCAATGTTTCTTTCCAGGGTGGGCACTAACACACGATTTGGCTTTGAGATTTCGTATGAGAACAATTACTGATAGGTAGCAAAACACTCATTTAACTTTTAAGTAAGCAATATGCTCCTTAGATTGTCTCAAGGCATGTTCCATAGAATTAAATTACTACTATTTAAAAGCTATATTTCTAAAAATAAGGTTACTCTATATTGTATTCAACTTTAATAAAGAAAAAGTTCAAATTTCTAAGAAACAGAAACAAATGAGAAGCTGAGTTGTATTCACTGGAGGATAATATTCTAAAGATACCATTGCACTCTAAATTGTTTTGTATTTATGTTAATTATTCAGATAATTGCTCATAAGTTTTAACAAATATACCATATTAATATAATATGTTAATAATGAGATAAATAATTTTAGTATGGTTGCTATTGTCCAGTTCATTTGGAAAATAAGCCAAAAGAACCAGGAATATGTTAAAAGGGAGTATGACCCTGCTATTAGAAATATGAAACATAATAAATTAATGTAAATATAATATAAAGTAATTCATTAAAAGTGCAAAACTAATGAATATAAAGAAACACTCTAATTCATGATTATATAAACACAAATTAACATTTCAGCCTATTGAATTGGCAAAAAGAGATGTGGAAAAATTGATGTTACAGATTATTACCAAATTTGAAGGATAACTTATTAAGACTTATCTGAACTTTAAAATGTGCATCCAAAATTTTATTCTGTGGCTACCCTATACAAAACTATGCCAATATATTTGTACAAAGATTCTTCAAAAAATTGTGGTTAACGAAAACAAGAAAACAAGAACAACAAAAATTTAAATACTCATCTATGTTGGACAAATGTTACTGTTTCTTTACAGATGGATAGATACATAGATAAACTGTTTTCCAGTGCTAGGCACTGAAACCAAACAATGACACTGTGCTACTCTTCGCCCTAAGTAACATAAAAATACATAAATTACTTATCAAAACACTGACATATGTGATCTCCAAGTAGTATTATTAAAGTAAACAATTATCAACATTTTATAAATGTAAGGGATATATGTATGCACATATACAAATATACATATGACTATAAGCATATATGCATATAGTGAATAAATAATACTGTTCTATAGAGAAATACAGATACTTTAGCAATAGGATGTATGTAGGACTGTAAAGCCTATGGGGAATACATTTTAATTTTATATCTTTTTTTTCTTTCTTTCTTTTTTTTTTTTTTTGGTCTTTTTTTCCTTTTTATCAGTACCGGGGATCGAACTCACGACTGCCTGCTTGCAAGGTAGGTGCTTATGCCGCTGAGCTAAATCCCCAGCCCCCAATTTTATATCTTTTTATAGTGACTATCCAACTGTGCACATTGATTATTCTTTAAATAATACATTTTATTTCAGGGCAAGTTTAAGATGTACATATCCATAAGCATGGTATATTTCCTCATTTATTTAGACCCTGGATTTCTTTCATTAGATTTCTGTAGTTCTGCTGACATTTTGTTAGATTTATATCTCAATAGTTCAGAGGAGTTTGGTGGCATTGTAAATGACATTGATGTAATATTAGTGTAAACTGAAATTTTAACTGTTAATTGCTGCAATGTAATAAAGCAACTGGCTTATGTAAATAAATCTTGTATTCTACTTCGTTGCTATAATTGCTTCTTATAAACATGTTTTATGTCTGTTCTCTGGGATTTTCTACATAGAACAAGTTTATTCAATCAATCCTAAATTGTGCATACTTTGTTACCCTACTGTTAATAGTTACTACTTCCTAAAAATGTTGAGTAGGAATAAGGGAACCATCTTTGTCTCATTCCATATGCTAAGGTTAAATCACTCATGATTGTGATGATTTACATATAGATATAGATAAAGACATAAATCCAGATGTAGATATAGGTAGACACAGACATACATATAGACATTGATATAGATATATATGTGTTTGTAGTCAGTTTTTGCAAGGGAATTGATTTAATATAGGACACATCATTAGAGGATTATTTTATAAGTCAATCAAAAAGTCAAATACAAAAGAACAAAAAAGATTTGCCCATGCACTAGAGACTCAAAGAACCCAGCTAAGAAAAACATCCTCCATGAATCCAGCTGGAGGCCTAGAGTCCACAAACAATGGCTCATTCAAGTCTGTATCAAGAATCTGCACTGGGAAGACCCAAAGGCCAGAGGTGGAAGCTAGAAAGTCTGTGCCAGCAGGCTGAGTGTTCTGCACTGGAGCCAGGAAGTGACGATCCAGGTAAAGACCAGAGCTCTCCCGTAGAAAATGCAGTCATCCTCAGTGACAGTGAGGTGCATCTCCAGTAATGAGAACAGCTGAGTTCAGATCAGGAAAACCAGCATGACAGGCTTCTCCTGGAGAATCCACGTACCATCTTCCCCTCCTGTTCTTCTTTTAAACTATTGGCAACAATCCTCAGCCTTCCCCCGCCCCTCCCCCAGAGCTACACTGATTCAGTTCAGCTGGGTGCTACATACTGATCATTAATTAATTAACTTTACATATATGACAGTTGCTGAGAGTTCTTAACAAGCCTTTGCTGAATTTCTTCCAATGTTTTTCTTCATTCATTGATATGGTAGTATAAATTTCTCCTTTAGCCTATTGACATAATAAATTACGTTAACTGTTTTTCATGTGTTGAATCAGAGCTGTATACCTGAAATGAATCCTATATGGTCAGGCAGGATGTATTATTTTTATAAATGCTGAACTTATTAAATTAATTATATTTCTTTTAAAAATTAATACTTCTCTCACCACTATATGACATACATTTACACCTAATCCACTTTGTAATAACATTATACATATAACATTATTTGATGTGTGGTGCTGGCACCTTACAACAAAATCTCTGATTTGCCTTCTTAACTTCCTGTAAGATACTGCTCACACTGTTATTATCTATAATCTATAATCATCTGATGCATTGCTTTACTATTTTGAACAATCTGCTGTTAGGTGATTAAAAGTATGAAAAATAAATTATTTTTTCATTTATTTTACTTTGAATTCTTTCCTTTTAATTTGTAAAATTCTAATTTTCCAATATCATATTTCTTTTCCCTGAATAACTTCCTTTTAATATTTCTCGTGAGTTAGATCTGCACACAGAAAATTCCTTCAAGTTTTTATTTGCCTTTTAAAAGTATTTCTTCTTTACTTTTGAAGGAAAATTTCCTGAATATATTAATGTAGGTGGTTGTTTTCTTTTATTCTTTTAAATATTTCATCGCATTCTCTTTTTGCTGATGCAGTTTCTAAAGATAAATCTCATCTTTATTCATCTAATATTTCTCCTCTCACTCATATGATTTTCCTTTTTATCTTTGATTTTCTGAAGTCTGATATGATTATATACAGATTTCCTGGTCTTTTCTCAGCTTCCTGTATTTATGATTTTGTATCTGCCAATAATTTTGGAAAATTACAAAGTCCTATTGCTTCAAATCTTTTTTTAACCTTGCTGCTATTCTTATTTCACAAACTGCAGACCATTTTTAAATTAAGAATTCAACAACTTTTTATTTTTTATAGCTTTAAAAATTCCTTACATTTTCAAAGTAAAATAGCTTTTTTCTTAACCATGTCCAGTCTATTGATAATCACAACATTCTCTGTTTACATTGTATATTTGGTGTTTTTAGCATGAAAATTGATTCTTTTGTAGAATTTCTATCTCTATGCTTATATATATATATATATATATATATATATATATGTGTGTGTATGTCCTTTAACACTGTCCATTATTTATGATTAGAATTAGTATATTTCTCATAGTTATAAATTCCTAGTTTGATATTTTCCAAATCTCTTCAGACTCTGTGTGTCAGGAGAGTATGTTTCATTCAGTTTTGTTTCTTTGGTGTTTCAATTTTTGCCCTTTTACATTTATTGTTATTTTTTTTTAAATTAAAATTGGACATGATGTATTATAAAGTCAATTAGAATAAAGAGACCTTTTAGTGAGGTGTTATATCCATCTGGTCAGAAGTTAGCCTGTGTTTACTATTTTGTGTAGATGTATATTTCAGATTATTACAATATTTTCTGCTATTGTTGCTTTTGGCTCCTCTGTTGGGTTAGGGTTTCCTTAAGACCCAAATTTAAACTTTGGAGTTCTTTTCATCCATAATTACTTAGTGTTTAGGCATTCAGTCAATTTCCCTTTTTTTCTCCACAGTATTGAGCCCAGGGCCTTTGCACTGAGCTATATCCTCTCATTCCTTCATTCATTTAGATCTTGCTAAGTCACCAAATTGCCAAGGATGAGGCTGAAATTGAGATCTCCGTGGCTCCACCGCCCAAAGCGCTGAGAGGAGAGGCATGTACCACCACAACCAGGTTCATGCTGGCTCCAGTGTCATTTTCTTTTAGAAGCTACGAATCTTTATCTGCCTAAGTCTCTAGTTTTGGGCTGGTAGTTTACCCTATGACTTTAGTTCTCTGGTGGATTTTTGAAGAGTTGTTAATTTTTATTAAGGGAATGATGATTTCTAAGATCTTTATTTATAACCAGAAGTGCATGCATTAGGTTTTAATTCATGAAAGAACATCTATGAACTTACATGTGTTTGTTTTCCTTCTTCTTTTGTGTGGTCCTGCCGTGTCTTTCCTTCCTTTCTCATGCCTTACAGAGAACTTCAGTGCTAGGAAGGATGGTAAGATGTAAGATGTCAGCTGAAGCAAAACAAGGAGCCAACTCAGGCTGTGGAAGTAGAAACCAGTGCAGCCGGTTAGCTTCAATGGGGCGATGGAAGTTAATGTCTTTCGTAGTGGAAGCAACTGAAATTTTGAGCCACCTGATAGGATGCAAGGAGAAATTTCCATCATTATTTTTGTGATACTTGCCAATTACAAATAACTTCAATCTAATGATGTCACATCTTTGAAATGACCCAAATTAAAGAATGTTGTACAAAATATGTAGACTGTAAGGTTCAAAAGTATGAAGGTCATGAAAGTTAAGGGAGGAGTCTGGAACTATTCCAGACCAAAGGCAACTCATGATTCTGACCAGTCCTTAGCTATAAAACACATAAATGCAACTCACGATTCTGACCAGTCCTTAGCTATAAAAACCTGTGAAACGTGAGCGGGGTTTGAAGATGAGTTGATAATAATGTATCAGTGTTAATTTTCTGGTTTTGATGGTTGTACTGAAGTTACGCAGGAGACCGGTATTGTTTGCAGTAAATCATAAGAAAAGAATCACAACGTTTAAATTGAACTTGAGGATGACAATTTCAAAACACAGGAATAAAAACTTGCAAGTTCTTTGAGATTATTGCAAAATTTCTTCTCAAGGATGATTGCAGTGAAGAATGAAAGAGAAGTGACAATCTGAAGTTGGATGCATTGTTTCTTCATGGTGAATGTCTGATTCTCCTGTGTCTGCTCTACTGTTTTTGATTTTGACTATATTGCTCCTTCATCCGCTCCCACACAGGGGACCTGATTAGCCGTATGCAATTTGAGACCATTAGTGATGTGATGAAGTACTTGTAGTTTATCATGGCTAAGAATCGCCTATCTCTCATTTATAGCTGGAAAAAATGATACGTAATAAATGTTAGGTCTTAATCATATTATAAATAATATTAACAATGCAGTGAAATCTAGAAACTATAAAAGCTATTATCTCCAGAAAAACTCAGCTTCAATGAGACATTTTTACTTTTCCCTTGCTAAAAAACATTTGTCTTCATAAAGTTCTTGACAACAGTTCAATCTATATATGCTCTGCAAATACTTTTATTTATTATAGCTCTCAAACTGCAACTGAAACGACAGGGGGGCAGGTACCCCGATTATTTTTGATATTTAAAAACAGAATTTAAAGCATAATACATTTTTATTTCATGCATTAATATTGTTGTCAATATCAGTACTCCCTTTACAAAAGATTTAATAAAAGGCTAAATTTAAGCATATTTTTAAAGGCCTACTATAAATTTGTCCTGTCTGCTTTTTAAAAGTTCTCCTTCCTTAGACTTTATCAAATGTAGACATATGTTTCTAATATGTTTATCTTGCATAAATATAAAGATAAAATTAAAATGCCGAATAAAATATGTAAGCTTTTAATTGCCAAATGCATCACTAATTCTCACTGTAGGGTGTCTGAAACCTATTTTAGAAAACCAAGGTCCATAGATATGTGGACAGTGGACATTTGTAAGATAATGCCATGTAACCAGCAGTTTACCAAAGCACAAGAATTGTTGTTAAATGAACAAATGAGTGTACATTGATGCATAAAGGCATTCATTTTTTTCATTAATTGTGTCAATAGATACTTATTGCAAGGGTAATGTGGACACTGACCTATAACATAGCATTTACTTTGAAATTCCTTCCCTCGGGTTTAAAGTCCAAGCTGAAGACAGATTCCTTCTTTGATCGACTAATTATACCTATACCTCAGGTACAGCCTGTAGCAGGCTCTTATCTTCCAGGGTGAACAGACATCTTGCTAATTACTCCAGAACTAGATTATCAGACAAGAAGAGGCAGCATGTATTCTCTGGAGACAGCAAAATTATTTGAATTAGTCAATTATACAGAATCTGCAAGCTCCCTGCAAACCCCACCTGGACAGTATAAGCTGCCCTAAGAGCTCCTGCATGATGTTAGTCTGTCCCAGGTGGCAACTGTCCATGTGATCCTGCAGGGAAGCCTCCTCTCCTTTGGAACAGAAAGTAACAAACCATACTGTCTTTCACCTATCAGATTTCCACTGTGTATTACTCCACCATCAAAACAATCTTTAAATCTTACAAAACAGAGAGATATAATGGTGAACAATACCCAAATCCTGACCTAAGGGAGCTTTCTTACTTACTGGGAAAACAGATGAGCAAGCTGTGATCCAGAACCCAGGAGAATCTCCAATTGTAACCATGAATTGAGCCACTTTTACAAGTTACACCACAGGTAAGGCAGACACAGAGAAACTGTTTCATTACCTGTCTAAAAATATAGCTTAGACTAGGAGAAAACGAAAAATCTCAGCAGATTCATGAAGCATAGAATGCCTCACTGAAAATCACTAAGGAGAAAGTGGTTAGGGTGACACCATCCTTCACCTCAAAATAATTGAGAAAGAAACTAGTATATTTTGCATCAGGGATCCCTACCTCAAGGCCAGCAGTGATCCAATAGTGAGTATTAGGTCTCAAAACTGGCCATGATCAGTATTGAACTTTCAGTTTGATCTTAACATGAAAACTAATTGGGAATTTTTAAGGGGAAGTGAACTCTGTAAGAGATGCTAGCCAGAAGAGCAGTTTATTGACTTCAGAGGATTATGCTGTATAATCTGACCCAGAGTAATGGAAGTAGCATAGACAGAAATGGCCATGACTGGATTGTGGGAGATGGACAGGCTTAACAATCCATACACACAGTTCATTTCCTGATTAAAGGTTTTCAGGGCCTTTATTTATAAACTTCTGACATGGCTTTAATATATCCTGTTATCTTTTAGCAGGTATTGGCTCCAGTTCAGAATTTTATAAAAATGGTCTTATTGAAACCCTTCAGCCTAAACCAAAGCTTAATCAAAAACATAGCTCCTTCTGATTCTTCCAATGCTAATTTATACAGTAGTAAAAAAAATGCTGCCTTAAATTAGCTTTAATCTTCATTTATATCATATCATTTACAATTGAGTTAACTTGTTAAATATAATTGATCACAGATTAAGCTTTCCAGGGAATAAATATATCCTCTCATGAACAGAGGGGGCAAAAATCAAAAGCTTTGATGCCAATGAATCCAAAGAGTAGACCAGGATGACAGAAAGGAAAGGTTTTCTAATTTTATATGTCCCGTATATGATTAGGTCTGTCTTTGTGTTTAAATAACCAAAAGTGTACTTTTGAGATTTTTTTATATTTAACTACAAAAACTGGTAGATGAACTTTTAACTCAAGGACCCAAAGCCCACATAAATATTCTGTATGTGTTTTGAAAATTTTGTAAACTTGGAAATTTAGTGGTGGCAACTAAAATTTTAACATCATACTTAGATTACATCCTTTAAGTAAGCAATTGGTTAAGAAATTATGGAAGGTCAAAATTTTCTTCTGGGAGTGTGGCCAGACTTTTTTAGACAGAGAGTTTCTTTTCTGTAAAGTTGACCTCGATCCTGATTTCTTCATCTGTTTTTAACAAGCTACAATCCCAAAAGTTACACAGAAAGAAACAGACATACAGTCCTCAATTTCTCCTTACATTTTGAGGTCTTCAGATGGCCTTGAAGATAACACCAGAATTCAGCAGACACAAACTGTGCAAATGATTGTCAGATAGGTCATTAATCGCATTTCATAGCCATAAATAAATCATCATTAATCTCCAGTACCCCTTAAGAAATGTGAGGTACAAAGTAAGTCACATGTAATTAGAAGTATCATACTGCATTTCAGGAGAGGGGGGTAATCATCTCTCAGTGATAAAGCTGCATGTAAAATGAGGAAACTTCTAAGTGCAAGCTTAGCCATGCAAGAGTTCTTATGTATGTCACCCTGCCTGAGCCTATGTTGTGGCAGAGGGTTTTAACAACCTATCACTATTAACTAATAAAAGCACTTCCAATTTATTCATTCAACATTTCAAATTACCAAAAATACTAGAACTTAGAAAAATATTTTGTTCCAGCTATATTGTTTTATGCATATGTCTCTAATATGCTAAAAACAGAATTTGCACATAATGAATCTTCTTGACCTGTATTTTCATACAAAAGTCAAGAGAGATCTTGAGGTTCAAAATACTTTAAATTATAAGATAATTATAAATTCATATAAAATTATAAGAAAAGATACAGATATCCTATGTACTTGTACCCAGTTTTAGTAAAATATAACATCTTGGAAAACCTTTGCACAATAACACACCCAGTATACTAACATTGGTATGACCCACTGATTTTATGGATCGTAGTTTTAAAATATGGTGAACGTATCCCAAATTGGCCTAAACATCTCCCTTTTACATCGTATAACTTCTCTCACTACACTCTTAAGTTTCAGATACTTGGCAAATCATTTGCCAATTACTGAGACAAAGAATGAAGGAAAAACAGCAGATGGTTGTACTGGGGGAAGTGAGGGATGGGGGAGGCTGAGCGTGTTGAGCTGGAGTTCTTGTGAGACACTAGTTTGAGATGTCTAACAGGTATCTGAATAACTCTCTGACTTATATCTGAACTCTGCCAAGCCTTGCTAGGAAGCCAGCTTTATGATCAGGTCCAAGAAGCCAAGAAACACTCGACCACTTTTAAAAAGAAACACCATCAACAACCATTGGCACATTTCTTTTAAAATACTCATCTAGGACAACTACGCCCTTTATTTCTTGGGGTTTCTATTCATACCTCTTATTGGCCCTTACAGTGAAATGTCAAGAATACAAAGATTGATTTGGTTTTGTCTGGGGATAGAGTTTATTTTAAAGATGCTAACAAATTCAAGTAGCGGCCGAGTATAGTTTCTATAATATAAAATTTCAAACAGCCAGTTACTGTTCTTCCATCCCTTTGAAGGGGCCCAAACTAAACAATTCCACATTCATTACAAAAGACCTCTGTAGAGTACCTTATTATGCATCATTTAAAAAGAGTAGAAGAACACAAATCCAGGAATCCTTTGGAATTTCAGATTGTATAAATAGCCCTTCAGTGAATGACAGCTTAAGCTGTGCTATGCAAAAAGCATGGCAGAGACAATAAATTATTTGAACTGAGTTGGTTTTTCCATATTATTCTAACCCTTGAGCATCATAGGGACAATTTCCCTTTGCTATATTTCTATACCAAAGTCCAAGGGTAATATTTAGAGTGATTTCCCACGAGCTCTTGTGATGATCTGCATTATTAAAAACGATTATTTCCAACCAGAGGCCATATCTGCCATCAGTCAGCAGGCAGGGAGCATTGTGTGAGCTCCTGGCTCCAAAAACTCTGCTGTAGATCCATGGACAAAGTGCCAGTGACTTTTTTTCACCTGACTGGAGACTCAGGGTACGGTTTTCCTTTGTGTCTGCAATTCATTTTAACAAAGTAGTTTCTGTTTTATTTAAAACCAGGACAACACAGGAGATGTGACTTTTGAGAATGGTTGTTTTACCAAGGGCTGCTGGCAAACTTTAAACAATTCAGGATTACATTCCATCTTGATTTTTCTGGCCAAAGAAATGTAACAAGTGGTACAATGCAGGTAGATTCACAGCCTTTGCTTGGAGTGAAAACCCACAACTGAAACGTGAAGCTAAATGCAATTTAAGAAACGTTAGGTAACACCAATCATTGCCTGCATCTTTGCTATGCCCCTGATACACTTATTTGTCCAAGTTTTTTCCCAGAACATTTTTAACCTGAGATGCTTCTGTCCTGTAAATGTACATGGCAGGAAACTTCTGAAGCTGAGAGGAGGTAGAGGAAGTTTCCTGTATAATCTTCCTAAGAACTTTAAATTCAGAATAATAACACCTTGTTGTCAAGTGGACCTGCCACTATTTTTCAGCCAATGCTAATTTCAACCTGAAATATAACTCCCTTCACCCTTTCATAAGCAGCACAAATGCATTTAGTATATTATTTTGAATCTTTATGGAATTTCATGTTGGGATAGGGAAAGAGCAGCCCACTGGCATTTCACTTAAAACGGTATCTCTTCATCAAACCACAAGCTCTCACAGCTCAACCATGCGTCCCACACAGGTTAGCATCTTTGCCACTCCAGTTCTAACCTCACTGTCAAGATTCTTCACACTATATTCTTAGCAAAACTCAGTTTTGCTCTACAAATTCTTGTAGCACGTGTTCAAAAAATTAACAAGGAAGATAATGCCTTCAGAAGAAAAGGAAGGAGAACAGCATGTATTCCAGTCTCATCTCAGAGATTATTCACTACAAAGAATAATATTTCACAGAGGAGGTAATACACCTTGGAGTGAGGCAGAAGGCAAGACTCAAGGGCAATAAAGTTAAAACTGTTACAACTAAAATGATAGCCAATGGCTGGGGATTTAGCTTAGTAGCGGTGTAAGCACCTTCCTGGCAAGTGTGAGGTCATCAGTTAAAGCTCTGGTATAGAAAAGGAGAGAGAGAGAGAGAGAGAGAGAGAGAGAGAGAGAGAGAGAGAGAGAAAGAAGAAAGAAAGAAGGCCAATATGGTCCTTTGACTTGTATTTCTGCAACATGGTATGAGGGTATATTAAGAAGTCTAGAGAGATACTTAACCAAGTTATGTAAAAGGTATCTTTATGTTTTCCAGCTACCAGCATTTCAGGATATACATTTTACTTCCTTAAATTATCACTCCTAATTTATACATACACTTCTGATACAGATTTTTCTAGTTATGGACCTTATAGGAAACCTACTTCATATTCAGAACATAAATATAGGTCTGTTTTACAAAAAGCAAAAGTCGTGAGCATTGAATACAACCTATACTAGCTTGAGAAAAAATAAAACACTTTATAGAGAGAGACACATACTGCCACAAACTATTTCTTGATAAATATTTCAGGATATAGCATACTCATATTTTTCTCCTTTCTTCTCTTTTTCTCTATTTCTCTATGTTCCTTCTTCCAAGGCTCCCTCCTTTCCTTCCACATGCTAAGTCACAATGAGTTGTACTATACGCGAGAATCAATATTTATTGAAAAATTCACTTTAAATTTCCAAATATTAATAATTTATTCCAAAATTCCTGACAAAGTTTCATTGGTCTCCCACATTTCTATCTCCCTCAGTGAGGATGAAATGGCCTGCTAGAGAAATGGTCAGTAATCTAAGTACAGGTATGCTCGGTTTGCAAAGGACAGCAGCCTCGGTCCACAAAGGTTTGAATGTTGTTTTCTCTTTAAAACTTACACTGAGGGTGAATGAGATGAAGAGGAAGGGTCTGGACAGAGGAGCAGGAAGTTGCTTTTGTTTGCCTTGCTTAATTGCTGCTGGGAACAAAAGAGAAAAAAAGAAAGTAAAAGCTGGATAGCCATCAAAAGATGATTGCTTAAAATATCTTCCTTCAAAAATAAAAAATATTTCTTCCTTCCATTATCTATTTCTAACAACCAATGGGAAGCTGTCAGCTCCTCCTTGAAATTAACCTTCTTTCTCACTGCCAACTACAAGGAAGATCTGTTCAGAGATCACCCCACCCCATGCATAATTACTGTTACTTAAGGGAAGAAAAGTCATGAAGGGTAGAGTAGTGAATGGAGAAAATAGAAGACAAGAAAGATGAGCTGCATACCAGACTGCAGAAGCTGTAGTTTTATTTACACATGGCAACTAAGCTTTCTGAAAATTTAAATTTAAAAAATTTCATAGAATTTTATATTTATAAATTAATTTGAAGGGAATAAAATATAACTATTGTCTTTTTCTGTTATATGAAGAAATTGAAACACAAAGGGATGAAGAGAACATGTATGCATCCAGTGGAAGAACTCATTTGGATCTTCAATCAAGTTCACCTGACAGACAGACCAAGGGGATTTCCAAAGAGCATAGTGCCTGAAATAGATGTGAATGTGCTATGTGCTATTGGCATCTGCATAGATTACTGTGCATTTCTCAGTTAATTGATTTTATTTATTATGATCACTAATTACTCAAACATTATCCTTAGATTTACACTGAAAATAAGCAAAATAAAGTATAAATAGCACTGCTATCACATTAAAAATTTTATCTCTTTCACATGTGCAAGATGAAAAAAAAAAAAGCTCAGCATTCTGATCTCTAAAGGATGGACTTTTTTTTCCAATTTAGAAACTGCCATCTCTTATGTCCTGATGCTTTTTAATGTTTCTTTTTGTATATGAAATTTCTAGCAAACTGAAGTACTATGCTTTCTTTTTAATTAATTGCCAGGAAACCTTGGGCAAGCTACTTAACCTGTTGTGAAAATCAGACGAGGTATTTTATGTAAAATTACTTACCCTAGCAGCTGAAATATAATCAGTACAGTGTTCACTGTTGTTATTAGCAGTAAGCATATTTTTAAATGAACAAAGCAAAAAGGGAAAGATCACCTATACCAGAGAATATGTAGGATTCGGCTGAAAGTTCAGTTCCCTATGAGCAACAGCTGGCCTCTTTATAGGGCTCAGAGTACAGATTACACACACACGAAAATATATATATGTAGGAAGAGGAAAAGGGTAAAAACTTTCAAAGTTCACCAGTTGTAGCCTACAGCATTTCACTCAAGCTCATTAGGAAGTTTACATTTATAATATAATCTCTTTGAAACAAAAATTTTTTTAGAAGGGGATCTTGTAAATTAGAACTTTCCCAGGGGGTTAACCTAATACAAGTTGTTCCAGAGGTGAAATTCCTTCTGAGCAAATATCTCAAAGCAGGAGAAAAATGTTTCTCTGTGATGGCAGTGTACTGGTTTATGTAATTAGCAGTGAATATTGGAATACCAGAGGGTAGCTTTAGCAATTAATAATACCTTTGCCTTTAGAACTACACTAAGCAAAAGAAAGACATTTAAACTACATAAAAGAATTGTGCAAATTAGCAGTACATTGTCTCAGCCCAGCTGTTGTAAAGTATTACCATATGGCTTTATAGTACACCTTTATTTTACCTTGGAGATTAAAAACCCTTTAAAATACTATTTCGTAAGGTTGTTCTGTGCTACACAGAAACTATCAGTGGGGAAAGTGGCTAATATATGAAGGTTATAGTTTACACCCTTACCTTTTCCAAAACCTCACCTAGCCAAGATTCCTGCAAATGAAGTCACATGTCAAGTAAAGTCATTCAGAAGTGAATTAAATTCAGCTTCCAAGCAACAATGTATGCGGGATATGAGCTGTGAAAAAGACTATGCAGGGAGTCGGGGTACGGGGCAGCTGCAGGGGTTTCTTTTAGATCAACTTGACATGAAATTAGAGCCTTTAACTAAGACAGACTGAGAGTCATCTCCTTCAATGACCAGCATATCGCCTGGCATTGAGTGGACCCTGTATATGATAGACACTCAATGCACACATTTTAAAAGTCATTAGAATAGTCTCATAAGCTTGCTATTAAAATCCACAGGTGCAGTACTATCCAGGAAGACTGATGATGGAAAGTGTTAGAGCTAAGATACAGCCTTTGCAGAAATCCCACTGCTAAGAGAGATAAACAGATCGAAGCCAGTCAGGTAAATGAACAATGAGGGTAGAGGTTTCTTAAGTAGCTATGCAGGTGGAAAACTTGACATTCCGACATGATCAAGACAGTTATTTAAGTCATTATTAAAAATTCATTTAAAACCAACTCATATGCCTGGACATTTTAAAGGCACAAATAAATATATTTCCAGCTACATAGCGCTAACGTGGAATGAGGCCCTTTTCACTGTGTAACAGAGGTTCCCCAACTTTTTCTGTTAAAGACTATGTAGTAAAGAACGTAAGGTTTGAAGGCCATGGTTGTCCTCTGATGAACCTTTCCCTTGTCCTCGTTCTCTTCCTTCTTCCCCTAGTTTACTGGTTTCTTTCCCCTCTTTTGTTTGCAACACTAAAAACACTAAACTCATTCTCAGTGCATGGGTGACACAACTCCAGGACGTGGGCATTTTAGGAATAAGCCACAGTTGCCCACTTGCAGATGCAGGCTCCCACACAGCATTCTGCTGTCTTCCTCACACATACAGGTGCTAGATCAACTGGACATTCTAATATACTTTTCTTTTAACTCTAAATTTAAACATAAATAAATTATGTAAAGACAAATGCAAAGTACTATACATATTACATTTTAAAAGACCTTAAATTTTTTTCTGAATCTGTTACAGTTTTCTCACTCATGTCTTATATCATACTGTTTTATTACAGCTACTTTCTACAGTGTTTCCAAAACATTAAAATTTACTTTCCCAAAAACAATTCTGCTGCTTTTTATCTTTCATATCTCATCAGTTTGACTAATAGTCAATTGAATTACAATAACAAACAATAATAAACCAGGTTGTAAAACCCTTGTCTCTTGAAATCAATTCAGTCATGGAAGTAGTGTGGCTTTTTACTTGTGAACCTTTTGCACAGCCCGGGCTTTGCGAAGTGTGTTTTAGAAAGGGACTAGAGAGCACTGACAACCTTCTGCATCAGCCTGAGTGCAGATTAATCCAAAAAGTCTATTTGGAATTGTTTGAGCATTATGCCAAGAACTTCATATATATTTGTTAAGGAGTAGTGTCCCATTGTAGAATAAAACTTGCTGCCATATATGACACATTTAATCCATACAAAGAAATTAATATATATCTTATTCAATCCTCACCATAACTGTGTTAATGACATTGGTGCAAGTATTAACCTTTTCTAATGTTTAGTATACATATGGCCTTGTCTAAGTTTCTTAGTTTTCTCATCACTTAGTAGAGTAGCATCATCTACCTAATGCACCTCTTATCATTTCTAAACATCTATTAAATGCTGTATCATTGAGACCTGGGGTTACAGCAGTAATAAAACCAGTAGTTCTCAAAGTGTGTCCACTGGGCCAACAGCACCAATAGCCTGGGAACTTGTTAGATGTGTACATTCTTGGGTCCCAACCCAGACTGTCCCAGTGAGACACTCTGAGATTGGCTCTTAGCTGTCCATTTCAACCAGCCCTCCATATATGGCTTTGATGCAGGCTGAAGTTTGAGAGACTCACTGATGTGAAAGGTTAGAATTTGTCCTCTTGCTGCTTACATTTTTAGTGTACTGTTATGAGCATTTTTGTAGTAGATACACGTACATGTACTTAGAATTCTTCTACATACAAGCTTAGTAGTTACTAAATATTGGCATTACCAACACTGCTAGTGTTACAGTTATGACAATGGATAATGCTGTAGAATTACTACCATGAAACATAAATAACTTTTTCTATATTTATATTATGAGTATGGAATAACATCACTCCTAAGTAGATGACTCAAAATAAATTAAAACAAATAGCTCCATAAATCATAGAGAAGAAAATTCAAGAGTCAAGAATCAGAGTGGGACAGATGGCATGAATGACTGTAAGCCCTGCACCTAAGAGGAGACTGCATGATCCAGGCGAGGTGCCACTGCTACTCCCCTCCCTGAACTGTCGCTGTGTGGGAATATAAGCACAGCAGTGTCAGATGTAATTTTTTTAAATGATGCTTAAAATCTGGAATTTTGTATAAAAGGTCCTGATTTTTAAATATGTAACCAATTCAAATTGTAGATACAATGAAACGTTTCTTCAGGCCTCACCTGGGCCTTGGCTTTCAGTTCACGATTAGATTCACCTTTTCCTTTTCATTTTACCTGCCCACAAATGAGAACCTGAAAAACACAAAAACAAACTGAAGGTCTCATTATTCAACAAGAACAGAAACCAGAGCTTTTTATTCTCTTTTACTACACAAGGCCTGGTCTGGCTTTCTTTCCATTCTGAAGAACATGCACCTATACTGCTGTATTCAACAGAATGTAGTAAGGACCAGAGATAATACCAAGTAAAAGAAATTCAGTACAAATTCATTATAACATAGGACTTAGTGAGCATATGTTGTGTGACATCCCACTTGAATCAGACCTTCTCAAAGACTCAGTGTTTCAAATACCCAGATTCACAGGCAGGTAACTTGTCTGTTTGTTCTGTGCTTTTAATATACCAACCTGGTCTTATTCTTAGAAAGGAATTCCAATTTTGTTGACTAAAATATGCATTGCTTCCTATTGCCTTTGAAAGTTTTGGCCCATCTTTATTCCTTTCCCTTTGTCCCTTGTGGTTCAGACTTTAGATTTCAAAACTGTAAGAATTTTGATTTGTAAATATTATTTGCATGCAATTGAGATGGGGCCACTTCGTTTGTATGAAAAGAAATGAAAGTCGAGCAGACTTGCACAAAGCCAGGTTCCATATGAGGCACCTCACCCTGCACCCAAAATGGCATTTCCAGGCCCCGAGTGAAGTTAAAGTTAGCCATACTATACACCATCATTCAAACTTGTTTAGACTTTTTCTTTTGATTCATGCCTTTGCTGCATTTTGTACATCCTCCTGACCATTCTTAGCAGCTGTAACAACACTTGTGGTATTACCAGTAATTTGCAACTTATCAAACATGATTGAACCTTGTTCTTTTGTGTAAACGAAACAGAACTCTTTGGTTGGCTTTCTTTATACTTTGGACATAGTGTAAAGGAAATGGAGACTATATTTGCATGCCAGACAATGAAACATAACACACAGTGTATACATGCCTTTGACACTGTAATTACTAGCTGTTGTTTAGATTCTATGTATGGTCACTGGCTTTGGCTGTGTTGAAATCAGCTGTATCAACATTTAATCAAAGTCTTATAGATTTTGGTTGTATATTTTTCTAACGTCAAAATAGAAATGCTGGAACTAAAAAATAGCTTGGAAGAAATGGAAACACGTATGTGATACACTGCAAAGCTAATGAACATTTGCGGCACAGTAAATGAAGTTTTTCTGATTTGGTCAGTAATAAAATCAAACATCACATGGAGCCCATTTAAAATTATGATTATTTCTCCATCATTTCAGCAGCTTCTAATTAATTTTGTTTCAGTTTACATTCAAAATAACCCCTTTCACAAAATATTTTATAGAGGTATTTTCTGATGTGTGGTGAAATATTAAAGAGGAAGTAATTGTAGGATTTTTTTTCCTCTGAAGAAACACAATGGATAACTCTTGGAAATTCTATGTTGAATATACAAATATACACATTATTTAATGTCATATAATATAAACACTATAACGAATAGTATTACCTTTGTTCTGAAGAGCAGGATACATTTCTGTAGTAGATATACACATGGATTTTCTAAAGTTTAATGTGCAATGTTCTTCTCTTGGTGATGATGGTTGGGGAGAGGGAGAAATGATAGTTTTCATTGTCAAATCCAGGCCTGCAATTGTATGCTTCTTCAGAAAGCTTCTGGGATAACATTTTCCTCCATCTTTTGTCTCCAAGAGTTGTATTCCTTCTTAATTATACAGGGATCCCCATAAAATTTGACACGGTAATATCTGCCTGTAACAAAAGAATGTATTGGTTGATTTATTTACCCAGGAATGCTATACCCAGCATTTTCTTTTATATATACAGAAGCATAGGATTCTTTTTTAGCATAGGGCTCTAATACTATATTATAAAACTATAGTATAAATTCAATGTATATTAGATACTTATTCATTCAGTAATTACTATGTACCTATGATATGTGAAACATTTAAAGAGTTACTATAGGAAATATAAAAGTAACTACGCTTGAAGTCTGTCTTCCATGAATTTATAATCTCAGGATAAATACTAGTTATACAGAATATAAACCAAGTCACACAGAACATAATAGCATATTATGAAAGTTCAGAAATAGGGAGAAATCACTCCCAGTCATAATGATCAGGGGAGTCTTCATCGATGATGACAGCAGGGAACAGACACGTATTAGAAATGTGCGGTTAAAGGAATCAACATTAATTTACTCTCAAGAAGACAGGGTTATGCAACTGAATTTCAGAAGACTGGGCCAATATGATCAGAGAAATGGTTTTAAATTAGATGCCTGTATGGGAGAAGAAGCACAAAACCAAAATTATGGAGCCATTGCAATGATTTAAAACAAAACCTAAGGAGAACAGGCAGGTAGTTGAGGAGAGAACCAAAGGATAAATCCAGGGGATAGTTGTAGAATTAACAAAGCAAGCTATGATAATGAACTTGACTAAAATTTCAAGCTTTTCAGATTGGAAGAATTATGGATGATTATTAGAAATAAGAGAACTGGACCGGGAATATAGGTAAGAATTTCAGACGAGGGCATATGAAGTTTACAGCTGGGGGAAGCATGAGAAATGCTCAGCGCATACTCAGGATAATGTACAGATTTAAAAAATAGTGGTCTTTACTGAAGTGATTGTCAAAGGGTCCTAAGGAGTCAGGAATAGAAAAATGTGGAGAAGATCCAAGAACGTTTGTTGTTGGAAACTGTTAGAGGAATAAACAGGGGGCTTTTCTGTAGTTCAGATAGGAGATTTTTAAGGACAACTTGACCTCCAAAGCACTAGATTTTTTTTAAAGAACATGAGAAGACTGTGGAAAAATATGTTTTCATAAATATAGAAGTATTGTCAAGTGTTATAGATTCACTTACAGACAGATTTGCTTAGATTCATAGTCAGAAATCAATGCAAGAGTTAATAATATTAAAACAAATACTAAAAATATAATGACAGACATTTGGAGGAGAATTGTAGAGAAAAAGTGCTAGGAGGAATAATTTTTTTCACCTACCTGCCTACAGTTTCTCCATTTTAGAAGAGTATTTTAAATACCAAAACAACCATAAACTAAAATATGCTTGCTGAAGAACTATATATGAATCTAATAATGAATAAGCCAATGCCTCTAAGAAGAATGTTAACAGATAAAACGCAGTTACATACAAGCCTAATTACATAATTAGCTTTTATGATTATCACCTATATAACAAATAGTTCTTTAAAGTGGCCCTTGAGACTCTGGGTAAGGTTTAGCAGAATAACTCAAGGATGAGTCAAAGGCATTTTAATTGTAAAGGTATTAGTATGTGGTATGATGGGCACAAGACTAACTAAAAGAAACGTAACTGTACTTCAAAATGAAAAGAACAAATCTAAATAGACAGATGGTAGAGATAAATATTTGGTAAAGTCTCTTTGAATATATGAAATAAAGCAACCAAAGAGCATTTAGGAAGTCTCACATTTGGAGAGATTCTATTTCTTAACAAGATGCAAGACTGAAGAAAAACATAACAATGTAGAAAATTTGGAAGTAGATTATAGAAGATACATAATTATACATGTGTACATAAAGGTGAGTTTTAGGGTTCAAGTTTAATATAAATCTGCATAAAACTAAGAAATCCACTGTGCATTGACTTGAAAATATCACATGACTTCTATTTTTTAAAATGGCAACTTTCATTTTTAACTTAACACAATTTTATGTGCATTATAAAGCATAAGTAGATTTTGTAATTTACACCATATAATATATATATATATGTAATTCATAACTTGATACTTAACCAAAAAGCCATTATGTAGGTTGATTCTGCAGTGTTCTTTTTTTTCTGTCAAGCTCCTCAAATAAGGAAGCAGTTCACCAGAAATTCCAATTTATTATGCGACCTCAATTTTTGGGTCAGAGTTTCTTATTTGTTGCTTTTTGGTGAAGTTTACCAGTAGTTTCTAAATACAACTATAAATATATAATTTTTTCCCTTTTAGTACAGGAATCAAACTCACAACCTTGCGCTTATTAGGCAGGTGTTTACACCGCTGAGCTAAATCCCTGGCTCTAAATAAATGAATTATAGTTATGTATTAATCCTACCGATGAGAAATAAATGCCTAAATTTTATAACGGCAAAAGTTAGCAACAAGTGTACAACTGCGGTTGCAGAATCTGTTAGGAGACATCATCTGTCAATAGGTTAAAGAGTTGACATTTTAGGTAAATGGAATGGCTGGCTGCTGTCTCTCCCTGGGAGAATATTTAAAACATGAGGCTTTTTTTTCAACTTTCAAGGACATTTCAAAAGCTATCTTTGTTTTCTGAAGTGGGAAATGATTTTTTTTTCCAAATCTACAGTGTGCCCTTGTAATAGCTAACCTCTCTCTAAGAGGATTTCTCAGTAGGATACATTTAAATCAGAATACTTGAGATGTGACAGGAGTTGCCCTGGCCAAAGCAATTGCAAGGCAGACACAGAATTGTACTGGTGACTGCTACTCTGAGACACAAGAGGACACTTTGTGATGATCCTTGAATTGTTTTGGAATTTTGATAAATATCAACACTATATTTTTTAATCTCATTGAGATGGGGGAGGGAAAATAACAAGTAACTCAATATTACTCTTTGAGGAAAGACAGAATTAAGTTGAAGTTGCTTTAACCAGAGCCTATTAGTCAAAGATTTTAAGTCTTCAGTTGTACCCTTATATGAGAACTTACTTAGTCTTAGACCATTGAATACATAGTATTAATGCTTACTTTGTGCCTGGACCAGGGGCTAAGATATAAAGAAAACACAGAAATCCTTATTATCACTGAAGTTTTATTGTATCATAGTCAAGATAAACAAGTAGAAATTATCTGTGTAGGGTTCATAAGTACTGCAGAGTATATCATATCAAGGAAGAAGAAGAGGGAGGCAGGCTACAGGGAAGGAACTGAGACCTGCAGGAAATGAAAGGAGCCGTGGAGCAGTGCATGTGAATGGAAGTGAAAGAACAGAACATAAGACATAGATATGCCTGCCAGGTTCATGAAAGGGGAAAGAGGCAGAAGCTGTCAAAACTCAGAGAAGTAATGTATCGCTCCTTGCAGTCTCTTGGAATCAGACTGATTTGTGTTCATGTTGAAATGGAGAACTACTGAAGAAGATACATGGAGTGACATGCCTTCATTGTATTCTAATGAAATATTTTTTGTTAGTGCATTGTAATATTACATGATGATGAGTTTGGTATGTGAAATTAGCATATCTTAATCAATTTTACTCTTATTGCTATCCCTTCTTCTTTTATTTCTCCCCCCTGCTCATCCTGCTCATCATCTGTAAAAGTACACTCCTGGTTGCCTGCTCTCTCGCCTGCACTTTATTTTCTTATTTATTAATTTGTGTATGTTTAAGGCTACTCCTGTCATAGAGGTAATACAGTATTTAGCATTCCGAGTCTGTCTAATTTCACTTAGTACAGTGGTCTCTAGTTCCATCCACCTTTCTGTGGATAAAATGATTTCATTCTCTATAGTAGAGAAGTATTCCACTGTGTGTATACACCACATTTTCTTTACGTTTTCAAGTGTGGCAACCATCTAGGCTTTTCCAGAGCTTCGCTATTGGGGATGCAGGTGTCACTATAGTATGCAGTCTTTAATTTGGGGGAGGAAGATATGCTCAAGAGTGGTAAAGCTGGATCAAATGCTATTTCTATGTTTAGTCTTTCAAGGAATGCCTATCCTGGTTTCCATAGTGACTACATTAGTTTACATTCTCACTAATAATGGAGGCATGTTCTTTTTTTTTGTAAATCTTCCTCAGCATTCATTGTTTTATATATTTTGGTTATTCTGACTAAGGTGATATGGAATTTCATTGTAGTTTTAATTTGTATTACTCTGATGATTAGAGATACTGAATATTTTTCTTTCTTTTTTTGCCACCTGAACTTCTTCTTTTGAGAAGTATCCAGTCACTTTATTTACCCATTTTTATTGGGTTCATTATTTTATGGGGGTTAATTTTTAAGCCCTTCATACATTTTAGATACTATTCCTCTATCAGAAGTGTAACATGTAAAGATTCTTCTCTCATCTAAAGGGTTGTCTCTTCACTTTAATTGTTTATTTTGCATGTATTAATATTTCTAATTTAATGTAGTCACTTTTGTTGATTTTTAAATATTATTTCCTGTGCTTTTAAAGACCAGTTATGAAATTTGTTTGTGCTTATAGCTTCAAGAGTTTCCTTTCTGTTGTCTTTCAGCAGTTACAATGTTTCAGGTTTTATATCCAGATTTTTGATCCATTTGATTTTTTTTTAGAAAAGAAAGCCATATGAACATAGTTTTAATTTTCTGCATTATACCCAAGGTATTATGTGAAATTAATATCCATTTTTCCCAGAATTATGTTAAAGAAGATGGCCTTTCCGCAAAACATGTTTTTGGCCCCTTTGTCAACAGTCAAATGACCACTAGTGCTCAATGGATTCTCTAATTGTTATAGTGAAAATAGTAAAACTAACAACAACAAAAACAAACCAGAAATAAAGAAGACCAATGATGAGGTTATTACAAGCATCCAGGGGAAATATGATGGCAGAATGATGCTGCAGAAATGAAGAAATTTGGGTTTCACATGCCTATTAAAGAAACTGTTGACAAGATGATTTGATAGATTAGATATCAGGTATAAAAGAAACAATCATATATGAGTCTACTCTGTTTGGTCCAAGCTACTGTAAAGATGAAAATA